GAGAAAAGACGCCATTTTATCTCTTCGCTTTGGCGTTATTTTCACTTCGGTTTGGCGTTATTTCGTTATTTCGCTTTGGCGCTTTGGCGTTATTTCGTTATTTAGCTTTGGCGCTTTGGCGTTATTTCGTCTTTTCGCTTTGGCGCTTTGGCGTCTTTTCGTTATTTCGTTATTTCGCTTGGCGTTATTTCGCGGGCGACAAAGCGAAAAGACGAAATGTCATATATCAGCCACCATACTTACATAATACATTGATATTTGAATATATATCAGACTTGGTAGATGAATTCTATAGATTACGTTCAAAATATCTTAAAAACAATTCCTCTTCCCATTCATGATGCAAACTTTTACTGGTGCGTCAATTCAACATTGTTCTTGGCAAATATCTAATATCTCACATAAATATATTTGTCTTAAAGCATAAAGCTCATTGTGAACCAGGTCCTAATGTCTCCCATCGACTTAACACTTGTGTACGTTACACAAACACAACATTTGGTTCCTTGTTAAACCAATATCATAACATTTATTTTCAGCACTCCGTGATTACGTCTATACGGGGGAGATGAGAACGGATGATGGAGTTTGGGCGTATCTGAGCGATTCGGAGCCGGTTGACGACACAGCTAGAACTTGGGCTCCAGACGAGCCCGGGGGATCACCCCAGGATTGCGGGTGTGTCAGTAAGGAAGATGCCTTTAAGTTAACGGACTGCCATTGTACAAACTTTGAACTACATTTTATTTGCGAAAAATCCCGATAGTAAATCAGTACCTATCGATATACTCTACTATTGGTGAACTGTACAACTGGTGGACTGTACTATTGGTGGACTGTACTATTGGTGGACTTTACTTTTGGTGGACTGTACTAGTGGTGGACTTTACTATTGGTCGACTCTACTATCGGTCGACTTTACTATTGGTCGACTGTACTATCGGTAGACTTTACTATTAATCGACTTTACTCGATAATTGGTGGACCATACTATTTGTGGACTGCACTTTTGGTTAAATCAACTATTGTTGTAAATTAATATTGGTGGACTCTAATATTGGTGGACAATAGTATAAGTGGACTCTACTATTGGGCGACTCTACTATTGGGCGACTCTACTATTGGGCGACTCTACTATTGGGCGACTCTACTATTGGGCAACTCTACTATTGGGCGACTCTACTATTGTAGAACTCTACTTTTGGGCGACTCTACTATTGGGCGACTCTACTATTGGGCGTATTGGGCGACTCTACTATTGGGCGACTCTACTATTGTAGGACTCTACTATTGTAGGACTCTTCTATTGTAGGACTCTTCTATTGTAGGACTCTACTATTGTAGGACATTGTAGGACTCTACTATTGGTTGACTCTACTATTGGTTGACTCTTCTCTTGGTAAACCTATACCTTTAATTGACATCTGTTCTCCACTTTATTCAAAACTTTATTTATTATTTGAAGTGAAATAAAATTGTTCATCTTGAAATTAGTGTGAGGGAATATAGACTTACGTTTTTGTTGTATTTTTTTCGACTTTTCTGTTTAACAAAATATGCAAATCTGGTCGTCAGTTTGGAACCTTCAACAAAGAACTCATTTGTGCTCAATGCATAATTATATTGCTGTCTGTCTTAGATAAATATTAAACGTCTCGTCTTTGCAACATGTAACAATACAAAACCTTACCTTTATCTTCTTTTAAAAAGAGTTCAATTTTAAGTGTGTTTTATGATTGGCAGTGTATCGTATGAATGGTTGTTGTTTATTTTATGATGAGTAGTGTATCTTGTTATTAGTAAAATGATTCAATTGTTGAAAAAACATGGTAAAATTGTTGAACTAAAAAATTGGTCAAATGGATTAGTTGATGAAAAAATTAAATGTGCACAAAAAATTGTTATTTTATAAATAATATGATGTATTAGACAATGTCATCTAAAAAATACTGATCATTCAACAAATGTTAAAACCATTTTGTTGTAACTCCTTATCATTATTATAATATTATAATATAATCGATTAAAATACACACATTTTATATATCTTACATTATACTGACCGACAAAATTAAGCATGCATTTTATAAAATGCATCAAACAAATTTATTTCATCATTATAAAGTCGATATAAAATCAGAAATGTAAATTTTAATTATTGGAGACACGTTTTACACAGAATCAGGCTGCCGTAAACTACCTAAAATGCATACAGTCTTATAGAACCACGTAGGGGCCATTTCAATTTTTCTCGTGATTTTGACGTCACAACTATACATAGTTATGCCCCTCGCTTAATTATCCTATTCAGGGGTGCCTGATCCCTATGAAATAGAGATACGTGGCGCACCTTATATCAAAGACAGTGGAAACCTAACAACTTGTGCAAATTCCTATAAGATGTCCTATATTTGATATTTAAAAGTAATTCGTGAGATTAGCTATAACCCCGCGTTTGTCTTGAATTTGCTGTCCAATGAGTTAGTCCTCAACAAATGACAACAGCTAATGTATGCGATATCTGTACATACAACATGTACCAAGATTCTGATACCTTTGACTTCGCAGCGGGGAATAGACAATACAGACACTATTTATTTGTGTTTGTTGGAGCAACACCACTGGAACATTACATCGTAATGGAGATACCATTTTCACTGGAACATTACATCGTAATGGAGATACCATTGCTAATCAAACATCAATATATTAACAGTCATATCAAATAGCAGGTCGACTCATTAATCAAATAATGCGGCTTATCAATACAAATTTACTAGTTATGAGGTTATCTAGGTTTACTGATAAAATACCAATTCCACCTACATAGTCATGCGATTGCTTAGTACTATGCCATACATTAGTGTTAGATTAACCAAATGTACTCGGTTGTTACCCATTAATAATAACTGGTCAATACAAGCCCCGTCTAACTCTTACATGATTGGCTAGGTAAAATCCGCGAGGGAGTTAGTCTGCAGAGGTGTTTAAGATTACGGACTAACAACCTGCTGATAGATGACCAACTCCATGGACAGCTTACCAAGGGTTAAAGCGGGGATATAGTTTTATTTAACGAGTTACCTGTATTGTTTTTGTAATGATAATATAACGACCATGTCTGTAGCATAGAGGGCAGACAATTATCATATAACGTCTTACGGATTTGAATTGAAGGTGACGATTGAATATTCAAGATTTATAAAAGCAAAAAGGTTCAATTTTGTATTTACTATCCCGAAAACGGTTGTATAGTACGGTATACACTGGTTTCATTGATCATGATATAGTTTGTACAGATTTGACTGATCATGATATAGTTTGTACAGATTTGACTGATCATGGTATAGTTTGTACTGGTTTCATTGATCATGGTATGGTTTGTACAGGTTTCACTGATCATGGTATAGTTTGATAAGTTTCACTGATCATGGCATAGTTTGTACAGATTTGACTGATCATGGTATAGTTTGTACTGGTTTCATTGATCATGGTATAGTTTGTACATGTTTCACTGATCATGGTATAGTTTGGACAAGTTCACTAATCTTGTATAAGGTTTACTGATCATGGTATAAGTTGGACAGGTTTCACTGATCATGGTAGTATAGTTTTGAGATGTTTCACTGATCATGGTATAGTTTGTACAGGTTTCACTGATCATGATATAGTTTGTACAGATTTGATTGACCATGGTATAGTTTGTACTGGGTTCACTGATCATGGTATGGTTTGGCCAGGTTTCACTGATCATTGTATAGTTTGTACTGGTTTCATTAATCATGGTATAGTTTGTACTGGTTTCACTGATCATGGTATGGTTTGGACAGGTTTCACTGATCATGATATAGTTTGGACAGGTTTCACTGATCATGGTATAGTTTGGACAGGTTTCACTGATCATGGTATAGTTTGTACTGGTTTCACTGATCATGGTATAGTTTGTTCATGTTTCACTGATCATGGTAAAGTTTGGACAAGTTTCACTAATCTTGTATAAGGTTTACTGATCATGGTATAAGTTGGACAGGTTTCACTGTTCATGGTATAGTTTGGAGATGTTTCACTGATCATGGTATAGTTTGTACATGTTTCACTGATCATGGTATAGTTTGTACAGGTTTCACTGATCATGGTATAGTTTGGACAGGTTTCACTAATCATGGTATAATTTGGACAGGTTTCACTGATCATGGTATAGTTTGGACAGGTTGCACTGATCATGGTATAGTTTGGACAGGTTACACTGATCATGGTATAGTTTGGACAGGTTGCACTGATCATGGTATAGTTTGGACAGGTTTCGAAAAACATAGTACAATTAAGATAGGTTTCATTGACCATTACGCGGGTTGGACATGTTTCGTTCAGATCGCGGAATGCTTTACACAATATTCACTACTTTATACTGTTTGGATATGTTTTACTGGTTGTGTTATCGTTAAAGATCCTGTCATCCAATTGTTTCCCGAAAGAAAAAGCTTGATACAATTTCGGCGTTATTCTGGTTTTTATTCCTCATGAGCAATTTAATTTTCCAATTAGGAAGGCATACACAGTACTGTCTTCTCTTTATTATGACCACGTGGTCTCCATGTTTTCCACTTTCTGGTTTTTATAAACGCAAACGTGGTTGATCCTGCGGCCACAGTGTAAAACATTAAACTTGATAGATGAATTTTATTCCGGAAGTCTTCAATATCATAAAATAAGCATGCGCCGCCTCCACTACATCCGGTCATCCATATAAGGCATGTGGTATCAATAATTAGACCAAAGAGGATCGGAGCAGGCAAGAAAGCTGAAATAAAGATTTGTTGGATTTCGTTCAAAAAAATACCATGTTTGTACGAGATGTATCTACCTACATTAGAGTCTAACGCGTTCACTTTAACTTTCGGTTCATCACCGGAATACTAGATTGCATGGTGAAAACCTTTGTCAAAATTACATTATTTACAATTAAATATATTCACTCTTAATCTAACGAGGTCTATCGTGTGTACGTTGAAATGGTTAGATAATAAATAGACAAAACCTTGAATAGTATCAATAGTAAAAAGATAATTGACTTATAAAGCTTTAAAACGTGACAAGTTCAACAAAATGTAATTATAGAATATTGGACGAAGGGGAAAATACCTAGTAGTGAGAGGAAGAAGGATTGTATCCCCATGGCCGTAGATTTGTCTCTGTCCTCGACACACCTGGAAATAAATAACGTCATACATTAAAATTAGTCAAAAGTAACCACGGATCGATACTGGTAATTTAGTCCCCGCAGGTAGGGCGTAAGTATTGTACCTACAGGTAGGGCGTAAGTATTGTACCTACAGGTAGGGCGTAAGAATTGTACCTGCTGCCCTCATTACATGATCGTAACAGGCGACTAAACTTGGGATCATATTATTTATCTTTTTTCTACACAACTTTTTCCTTTCTAATGTCTCCATTGACAATGCCTCACTGTTGGCCTCTAGTTGAGTGTTTGCCCCTGTGAGGAAGGCTTTGGGAGCTGTCCCCTGGTCGAAACTAACCAGAGTCTGTAACAATGGTAGTTTCTACTCCTGCTTAACTCTCAACACTTTAGGAGTGGGACGTCTGGTTCGCCCGTTGTCAGTATAATGTGACCAGGTGGAGTGTCCTGCTGGGTGTCTTCGGCAGTATGTTTAAGTGAGGTAGCACTATCACAAGCCGGCTACCACAAGCAGACAAACACGAACACATCGCAGCCTCCCAAAACACACACGCATACACTACACGCATGCATCTTGAACACAGGGGAGGCCGTCCTAAAATGACCACAGCTGTTAATAGGACATCAAACAATAATATTTACATTTGCACTGCGCATGCACACCGGCGAGATGAACCTACAAAGCCCAATGTATGATATTTTCCAATAACACACATTGGGAATAAGGCCGGCGTAATAATACGTATGCGTGATCACATCTTATAAATGTGCAGGTTGTTTCTTATATGCTGTCATCTAACTGTCCAAAATATGTTGTAAGCCATATGACTGTTAAAATTAAATATATTTTGCCTGAGAAATGGAGAAATAAACATTGTATAATTAGAACTATTTTTCTAAATGTCTGTTATTTTTGTTTAAACAGCGTACTAAGCTGTCTGAGTACTCACTAAATTTTTCGTCTACACTAGTACTGCTGAGATAAAATGACGCGAGGGATGTCAAAATGATAGTAAACGGCTCTGTTATATACAATACATGTTTTCTTACCTGATCTTTGCAATGAAACTCAGCATCGCCTTTGCCATCCCTGCTACAGAGCCAATGAACGTGAAAATTGACCAGGGGATAAGGGTTTTGCAGTCCGAGTCGCACATGCCAGCACGTGCAGTCCCGCCATCACCGATGCATGTGCAGTTTTCGTATAACTTAAAAAACATAAAGAAATGTTTTACAATGTATTTCGCGTGAGTCGTGGCGCATTTTAGATTATGAATTATTGGAAAATATCGTTATTTTGCCACCTTCTGTCAAGTTAAATATCGGCTTATAAAGTGATTTAGAGATACACTGAGGGATATTTGCATCAGATTTTTAAAATCCCTAATGCAAATTCACACAAATTCCCCCTGAGAGGCTCCGAAAAGGTATCAGTGCATACCAAACAGATCTTAATGAATGCATTCAAGATTCTGAAAAAATATGATTAAAAAGAACAATTACATCTTCCCTACTGACAGATTCCACACACATTCAAATACAAACACATACGCAAACGCCATCAAGAGACTCAGAAGACTTTTGTATGGATGCAAAGATAAAAGGAGATTCCGAACAATTTGCAAACACATACACCTCCACCGCTGAGAGACTTCAAACAGCCAGCAAAACACGGAGAATGGTAGTTGACCCCGTCTGACCCACAAATCGAGAAGAATTGCTCTCCGTCACAGTTGCATCCCCGGGAACAGTTTGACAGAGGCAATGCGGCTATACCGTGATAGCTGCAACAGAACGACAGCACAGCTAAGGTTACACAACAGCTGGTTGTTTTACTAGGATTATGTTTCAGTATTTATTTCTGTCGTTTATTGATACGACAAAAATCCCATTGACACATTTTATATTGTATCACATTATACAATTATGGACTTTTCCCCATAACTGTTTTATTATATGCTTCAACAATAAAATAAAACAAAATAAAACTCAAGGTTCTGATTTTTGTACGCGAGCCTCCGTGTAAAATTTAGCCATGTTTGAATTTAACAGTTTAGCATCGTAGCTTTCGAAGACGTCGTCTAGGTTCTTTTTCTTAAGATAAGCATTGAGGACATGCACTGTGTGTTCAATTGCCTTTTTATTTTAACAGCATCTTTATCCTTGAAAAGTTTTGGTAATTTTCAGATGTAACGGAGGAGAAACGTTCGCCAGCAGCAATCTTCTAATGTCGTCTGACAGATCGCGTTGAGTTTTATTTTGTTTTATTTGATTGTTGAAGCATATAATAAAACAGTTATGGGCTTTTGTGCTGGTAAATATGATGTGATATGAACCTGAAAGAGTGATATTGACCTCGGCTTCGCCTCAGTCAATATCACTCTTTCAGGTTTATATCACATCATATTCACCAGCACAAAAGTCCATAATTGTATAATGTATGATGACCTATCAGCCCTGTGATTGGTTATACATTTCAATTGTTTTAATTGTGACGTCACGCCTAGGACAAGCACATGACATCACATACATACGCACTGGAGTCAAAATGGCAGCATTTTACATTTCAAGGTTGCATGAAAATTGTCGTTTTACACGAATAAATGCCACAAGTTTTGACTACGTAATAATAAGGATCTTAAACTCGTTTTCCTTTCATATGAAATGTATTAAACTCGTCACGATTTTTTTTTCATTTTAGGTCCCCAGAGGCTCGCTAAATGAAAAGAAATTCTTAGACTTATTTCATAAATCTCATATAAAATGGAAACGCATGTAAGATTCGATATATATGCTCCAAGTGTGTGTTAAATACGGACACTAAAATGTATCAATACAACTTTTACCAAACTCAGATTTCCGGATTAACATACATGTTAATGTTGCAAATCATACGTTCAATTTTGTCGAAAATATATCCAATCAAAGTACATTCATTAAAATATTTTCATCAAAATACAAACATGAGAGTATCTTCATTAGATATAAAAATATCGCAATTAAAACAACCCTATTATAAGTGTCCTTATTTAAAATATTTCCCTTAGAAATATCAAGATAAAAATGTCCCTGTAATTAAATACACGCTGTTGATGTGTTAATGACAGTTTATATAACGTTTGTAAAACTGTAATGCAAATAAAATGTTTTCTGCTTGGTATGAACCGGTAACTTTTCTCTGCTGTTTAATTTTTCGCTTTTTTCGCTTTTTTCGCTCTGCGTTCTCCGTGGCGATTTTATCATCACAGAATATATTTAAGAAATAATCAACATATATGCGTGCATTATGGTGGAATATATAACGAGGTTAAGAAATTGTTGGTAAAAATAATCAACTCAGGCCGCTAAGTTGATTATTTTTATTCTACCACGTCAAATATAACTAATTGTAAAGTTTTGCTGTCTTATAAGGCGACATGACCTAGATAATTCGATATACAAATTAGACAATGTTCTTTTGCGCGTGCAAGATTTATCACGTGATCGTGTTGCCTCGTTTTAACTTGATCAATGTCGCGCCAACATTTCTCAGTGCGTAGGGTTGGGATTCCCGGATTGCGTTTACTTCTAAAACCATCATCATCGTACCGATATCAAGCGGATTTTCTTGGAATTGCCAGTGATACAACATCATACGATAGGCCTGACATGAGTTGGCATATTTAGTTGGTTGCCATGACGTGATGGAAAGTCGCTGACCGGCTGATCATGACGCGCCCTCCACCTTCACCGACTTCACCGGACAGCTGTGTTTTGCAACCACTGTTCAGATCGAGTAATATTTATTCCTATTAATTGTGTTTTTCTTTGCCTAAATGAAATTAGAGGAATGCACTGTAGTCGGTGTTTTGTAAATTGTCACTGCATGAAATAATATGTACAGTTAAGTTATGGTGGTGTAATATGAATGACAAGTTTAAATAAAATAATATTTGTTAAAACAAAGTAAAGTTTTATAAGTTTTATTATTATTAACCTTTTATTAGTTTCACTCCCCTGGTCTGTTTTATCGTGCTCCCCTCATGTTTACTCATTTCGAGTGCTGCCAATGAGTCTTCGTTCACCGTGGCGAACCTGGGTCCGGAGCTAACGGCTGCGGTGGCACTGGTCTCTGGGGCGTGTGTCCGAGTCACATTACCTGTCGCGCACATAGCAGTAACTGAAGGGATTTCAGGGCTAACATGTTCGAATTCACTGATGGAGGAAATGGCTGCGTCATCCTCCTGACTACCCCAGGGACGTATGTTGTCCTCTGGTATATCGTCCAAAAGTTGGTGAAGAAAAGTCCGCCTGGTTTCGCCACTGTACATAGACCTCACCACAAATTGTTTGGCAAATTGAGGATTTGGTTGGTGAAAGTCCACAACCCGACACAGTTTCCTACAATAAAACACCCTGTCTCCGATTTTAGGAACTTGAACTTGAAGCCATGTTGATTTTTTTGAAAGCAGACGACGTTTTGCAGACCAGAAACAACTGAACACGTGTGACGTCAGATACGATGTTTATTTCAATCAATCAAACATTGGCACGCTATCGACATCGTTCGTCAAACTAAGAAATCAACGCTTGACAGTACATACATACACTGCACACATCGTGAAATGTACGGCACTACCCAGTGAAGTAAAACAAGTAATTAATAATTTACCATTTTGTCTTCAGACCTGTACATTTTAAATGTCAATAATTAATAAACCATTTTCACTGCACGGACCCACATACTTTAGGTCTATAGATCCGTGTAAGTTTTTGAATGGCAGGCCTGTCAAATATTTTGATCCCGCCCGACAGTTATGCTATTTTTGTTAATTCATAATAAAATACGGGGAGGTTGTTGGAACAGCATTCGTGCGCACTATTTCACGTGCATTGGTTATTGGCACGCGCATGGTATCGCTCAATAATGCACTCTTTTTAACCAATGAAAACCATCGTTTCATCACAGACGTGGTAGAAAAGTAAATAATATAATCTGCATAGTAATTTCACTTGTGGGCGAAATTAACACTAGGTGAATATGGATTATTTTGGCGAAGGGTGAAAGTTTGAATGGGCGAAATTAATACTAGGTGAATATGGATTATTTTGATGAAGGGTCAAAGTTTGACTGGGCGAAATTAACACCAGGTGAATATGGATTATTTTGATGAAGGGCAAAAGTTTGACTGGGCGAAATTAATACTAGGTAAATATGGATTATTTTGATGAAGGGCCAAAGTTTGACTGGGCGAAATTAACACTAGGTGAATATGGATTATTTTGATGAAGGGGCAAAGTTTGACTGGGCGAAATTAACACTAGGTGGATAAGGATTATTTTGATGAAGGGCCAAATTTTGACTGGGCGAAATTAACACTAGGTGAATATTGATTATTTTGATGAAGGGTCAAAGTTTGACTGGGCGAAATTAACACTAGGTGAATAAGGATTATTTTGATGAAGGGCCAAATTTTGACTGGGCGAAATTTGCCCCGGTATACAGGAGTAACCTATCTGCCAACAGTTTTGCTGAGACGAAAGTGAAAAACACTTTTTTGTCCTTTCAATGTTAGTGTTTGTTGTGTTATTCATAAATCTGTGAAACCAATCACTAAGTATGTAAAAGCACGTGTCATAAAATGTCATACTAATGCATTTTTATGTACACGCATGTGCCACAGTAGGGAGTGCGTGTTTGTCAAACTGTCGCCATCATTTCTATATTTTAATTTTGGTTGTATTTTCTCAGACACAGATTATCAAATAGAGAGAAAATGGGTTAAAATCTCAAACGAGATCCAAAGCAAGGAAATAACATATTCCATAGCATGTATTTTGAAGAAAACGACATTCCCGTTTATATCATTGACATATAACAAGAAAGAAGTCTCGATCAATGTTTATTATTTTGAAAGATGATAAGTATCTCACTCTAAAAATAATGACAGGATTGTAAAATAATAACAAGATCAATCATTATAACTGTGGAAGAATGATATAGAATGTATATCTGGATGTAGGAAAATATAAGACAGGATTGTGAAAAAAACGAGTTCAATCATCATTACTGTGGAGGGTGATATATATCTAGGTGTAGGAAAATATATGACAGGATTGTGAAAAATAACAAGTCTAATCAGTATTACTGTGGAAAGTTAATAGTTACATTCAGAAGTATGTGGAAGGGTAATTACCTTTCTGGTCCCACGACTCTGGGCTGGTCACATCCCAGGAAGAATCCGAAGATAAACGTTCCGTTCTGTACGACGAACAGTATCAACAAAAGGCCAAAGGTGTTCCGAGGGATCATTGGAATTTTCCTGGTTAGGAAGCCCCCAACAAAAGCGCCAATAGCTAAGCCCACCAGTTTGGTGACAGCTGAATAAAACAATATATTTATAACAAAATAAATGTATTTGTCTACATAATACATTTCCAACATTATTCTCTGCTTAATGTTCAGCATTTAAGATAACGGCAACAACTGGTTTACCCGTTGTCAGTAAGTGGCCGGGTCGGATACTGTTCTGGGTGCCGTCGGTAAGGTATTTCAGTGGGATGCACTCTTAAATCAGATGTGGCTTCACAAGGAGGCACATTCATCAACATATCCTGTCTCCAGCACACATGCATACATATACAACACGCATAGAGGCACGTCCTTAAATGACACTAGCTGTTAATAGGACGATAAACAAAATAAAACCAAACCAAACCAACATAAACATCAACAAATGTTTCATACACTAGTAATAGGTGCAACAACATATAGAGAAACAATACATGTGCATGTACATGGTACAGGAAGTGTGTTCTGGGGTGAAACCGAGGTTTCCTATACATGCCTCTTTGTAAGGCACATATTAAACTAACAAGTACGAAAACAACATGATTCAGCGGTTGCAATTTGTATTGTTGTTTACTTTTAATCCAACGTCGTATGACATATATGTATAACCAGACAACAACTGTCATGTGTTGTTTATGTATAGTCATGTGATATTCGTGTTCATATACGTGTTGGCGTGTAACATTTGTTTTGTCATGTTATGTCTATTGTCGTATACTTGTATTCTCCCAGTAGACATTGCATTCACAGGAATATAAACGCAATCAAGTCAGTCCTCTAAATAACGTTAAAACATATCAAGAGGCAAACACGTGGATGGTGTTGGGCTGTTCCTGGAATGTCGTTAGCATTGGTTTCACAGAGACTAAAATACTACAAATATCACGCTGTTTTAAGCATTATATATAGCTGCTTTAGTGTTCCTGCTGGTATGAGCGCAAATCAATTATATTTATACTCAAGCGTCTCTCATGCAATATGAATGTTCAAAGAAATAGTTCAATCCCTACATGACATATATTTTTGTAGGTATTGTCATTTAATGTCGTCATATCTATTAAATGACATATGTGTTGAGTCACATGTTTTGTCATGTGATATATGTACGTTGTTACATAAGTAAGAGTCACGTGACATATATATAGTGTTATATAACTAAGAGTCACGTGACATATGCGTTTTATCACACTTAAGCCAGAGCAACAGTGCAACTTAATCAAATAAAAAAAATCCTGTTTTCTTATTTGGGTATTGAAGAAAGGTTCCGATGGTCCTACCTAGAATAAGATTAGACTGCCACAGCGGTGTTCCGAATTGCGTCTGTATGTACTTAGCCAGGAATGATATATAGCCGGCCTGTCCACATACCATGGCGCAATTTGTTACCAAGATACTAATGTAGATAGGGTTCTTCATAATCCGCCAGTACGACGAGACTCGATCTGTAGAAAGGAAATCATCATCAGTAAACGATTTAATTGTACTCTGCGCTTAGGATCCCCGAACCACTTCCAAAAACTGTAACTATACAAAGGAACCGTTTTTTCGTCATGACTATAGCTTTGATAAACCATTTCTGCAAATCAGACAACCATACATTGAGGGAATTTGATGTCAAAGTAATTAAGGTAAAATAACCAAAACATGATCAGCAACAGTATTATGAGTGAAAACATTCAGCTGGACTACATCGGGATGGGAACCCAGGGCTTCATATTCTTGTGCTATCGGTCTCATCGACTGACCTACCTGATTTATCCTAAACGAAAATAAGAAAAGGATCATATATATACGAATATCCATAGTGTAGCGGGACAGAGCTTCTTAAACGATATTTCTGTAGATGATATTTACTACCTTAGTTATCTCCCCCTTTGATTTTTATTCACCTCTTGGAAAGGAGATACGTTTATACATCACTAATTTAAATAGTATATTATATCATAACATCACAGGGCCTGTACGGATTAATCCCTTTAAGAAGTTTGCAAGCATCACCTCGTTGTATCTAGATGGTGAAGGAACCAGTTATGGTTGTTTTCAGACTGTTATCTTGCTGAAGCGTGAACGGCGCCATATTGGAAACAAGTTTTAATCGGCTTAGTCTTTTTTCACTGCGTACGTATATATACGCTAAATTATACACGGTCAGAGTTTACTAAGCTGAGGAATGGAGAGATGTTAATATGAAAATATATTACCCTTGTAGCAGGGAAACAGGTCTCTTAGTTTCAGTTCGAATTATAATGCTCCGTGATAAATATCGGGGAAACTACGAACCACGTGTCCCTCCCACGGTGGCAATACATGATTGTCGTATCACAGCGACCATTATGGGCTTAAGTGCAATAATGGATGCATAACGTTTACGCTAAAATATCATTACACTGCCATCATTTAGCCTTTACGAAGGGGTGTGACGACCGTATATCGTAGAGGGCTTTTCGAGAACTTCGACAAAAAAGAAAAAACAGATTAAGAGTCACGTGTAAGTAAGAGTCACGTGAGTAAGAGTCACGTGTAAGTAAGAGTCACCAAAATGTATTGTATAGAAGTTTTAATGTGAATAATCAAGTGACATCATAATGAAGTTTAAATTTTTATAGTATTCATCTTTTTATATCAAATGTATTGATTTACCTTTCACCTTTGCACGTGTGGTCAACAGAGGTTTCTCTTTCGGCATGTCTTTTCGGTACTCCTCTACCTTTTTCTGGTTCCACTTAATCCGGTTCGGGAACAGGATAATGGGAATGGCGACAAGCAATGAACCTAAACCAAAGACGAGGAAGCCAAGCCACCAAGCACCAATAAATCGGGGATCCTTTGGAGTTATCGGTACGTCTGAAATGTAACAACAGAAGCATGCATGTTTAAAAGTGTATTTATTGGAATTTAATGATTTAAACTCGGGAGCTTAGGAACCATTTTAAGTTTGAATATATGAAAACTCATTACCGCATTATTAACATAACCTTTACTTATTTTACAACAATTATGAAACTTGAAACAAGTTATTTAAACTTGTATGAATCACCCTAGTGACCCGGATGTTAGGAAGTTAGACCGGGGAAGGGGTCATATTGTTGGAGGAAACCGGAGTACCCGGTAAAAAAAAACCCATGTGATAGGGCAGGTGGCTCCATACTTTTTCACGCCCGATCAAAGAATTACACCCCGGCCACCTTGTTGAAAGGCAGTGTGCTATCCACTGCGCCACCCGACCTCCCTTTTATAATAGCGTTATACTATCACCTGAATGATGACGTATTACTAGGAACCTTGAACAACAGACATCAACATCAACAAAAATGAATAAAAAAATAAAAAAAAAATGAATAAATTAATAGAAATCTATATATATACATATATAAAACAAAATAAATTTAAGAAAGTTCCTGAAGCAATATCTTAGGAATGGAAGAGTACCTACCTTCAAGCGTGACGTAGATCTTACTTAAGTATCCCCCTAGTCCGAAAGCGAGAGCGGGGCCCATCGTAGCCGCGGCTGACATAATTCCTGCAATAATGTAAACCGGAAGTGATGTCTTGTATCCACTGCACATTCTCATTTTATAATACAAAAACGTAAATAACTTCTTCAGATGAATTTTATGCGTTTTAGTCTGAAAGTGTTTTGATTAATCTAATTCCAAGGTTTTATCATATTTTACGACCTGATTGGGTGTTATTATTATACTTTCATAATGACGTACTGTTGTATATTTAAACACGTATGGTATTATACCTTCATTAATATCAACAAGTCTTGTAGTCATATTTGCATCGTGCAAATAAAAACGTCTGCGTATACAAGCAACGTTCAGTGGATCATGTAGAAAATATCTGCATTCTAAATAATGAATTATTAAAAAGTATATTTTACTGAATCTTACCTATATAAAAACCTGTTTTCCTCTTTTCAACGTTATCGTCGATGTAGACAGTCACGAATGGCGCTCTCGGCGCTTTACCTATCCCCTGAACCATCATCCCGATTGCAATTATTCCAATGGCTAGTGCTTTAAATTCCGGGCTGACCATTTTAAATATCTTCTTCCGATTATCATCTTCACATGTCGTAAAATTTCTATTTTCTAATTGTAGTTCCGGTACACAGAGAGGCATTATGCTGCTCTCAGTTTCCGTAATGTTATTAGGCAATGCTAAATCAGGTGTTTTGCCGGAAGTTACGTATAAATCTTCTATATTTGGAGTGATGTAATGCGGGATACTGCAAATAATACCGGAAAAGCCATACAGGAGCGTACAGTAGAAGAGGAATCTCGGAATATGGACAAATCTGGCAAGGGAACTAATGAACAGGCTGCAGAGTAGGAAACCGATATCATTGAAACTCATTAGTAACCCACTCTCGGCGCTGGACAGCCCAAACTGCTTCTCCATGTTCGGTACTTGTGAATTGACGTAAAAAGTCAATGTCTGGGTCATCAGCCCCGCCAGACCATAGAAAAAGGTGAAGGATTGGACATTGGCAAAACATTGAAGGCTACTGATCTTCAAGCCGTATAAACCGCACAAAACCTCCTCGTCAGCACTGGCACCGCTCTCGGTATCACTAGCGAGCTTCGCAGACTTTGGTTTGTCTCCCATACTGATAAGGAAGTCGAGGTGGAAACCTAAATATATATAATGCTTTAGTTTTACATGGTTTGAATAACGTTTAAATTTAATATCGTTTGTCTAAACTCAATAAAATCAAAAACAAATAATGCTGAAATGTATCATAGATAATCTTGATTCGATGAAACCTCAAACATATAATGCTTTGATGTTCCATAGTTTGTGTGGACTAAATTAAACCTAAAATAAATAATGCTAAAATGTAGCATGGTTTGATGAGCGAATGTGAGCGTAACCGCTGGAGTATCGAAGATGATGTGAGCGTAACTCCTGGAGTATCGAGGATGATACATGTAAAGTGAGCGTAACTCCTGGAGTATCGAGGATGATACATGTAAAGTGAGCGTAACCCCTGGAGTATCGAGGATGATACAAGTAATGTAAGCGTAACCGCTGGAGTATCGAGGCTGATGTGAGCGTAACCCCTGGAGTATCGAGGATGATACATGTAAAATGAGCGTAACCCCTGGAGTATCGAGGATGATCCAAGTAATGTGAGCGTAACTCCTGGAGTATCGAGGATGATACATGTAAAGTGAGCGTACCTCCTGGAGTATCGAGGATGATACAAGTAATGTGAGAGTAACCCCTGGAGTATCGAGGATGATGTGAGCGTAACCCCTGGAGTATCGAGGATGATACAAGTAATGTTAGATATTGGGTGTGACGTAATGGATAGCCTAGTGTGTAGGACTTGGGTGTGACGTAATGGATAGCCTAGTTTGTAGATCTTGGGTGTGACGTAATGGATAGCCTAGTGTGTAGGACTTGGGGGTGACGTAATGGATAGCCTTGGTTGTAGATCTTGGGTGTGCCGTAATGGATAGCCTAGGTTGTAGATCTTGGGTGTGCCGTAATGGATAGCCTAGGTTGTAGATCTTGGGTGTGGCGTAATGGATAGCCTACTTTCTAGATCTTGGGTGTGACGTAATGTATAGCATTTTTTGTAGATCTTGGGTGTGCCGTAATGGATAGCCTAGTTTGTAGACATTGGCTGTGACTTAATGGAAAGCCTAGTTTGTAGATCCTGGGGGTGACGTAATGGATAGCATTGTTTGTAGATCTTGGGTGTGACGTAGCGGATAGCCTAGTTTGTAGATCCTGGGTGTGACGTAATGGATAGCCTAGTTTGTAGATCTTGGGTGTGACGTAATGGATAGCCTAGTTTGTAGATCTTGGGTGTGACGTAATGGATAGCCTAGTTTGTAGATCTTGGGTGTGACGTAATGGATAGCCTAGTTTGTAGATCTTGGGTGTGCAATATATGCTGGGAGTTATTTCTGATAAAGGGTAGGCTTGTCTTTCACTGGTAGTACACATTTCCACCAACTTTTTGATAATTGTGACGAATTTGGATTTATATCTAGGTGTGGGATCATTTTACTGTACCACATATGTTTGTTGCTTCGTGTTCTGTTTTACTCATAAAGACGGTAGGTCTTCCCTTGCCTGCTGGAAAATCACCATTTGGTGTTGTAAGTTGTGGTAATAATATGGGGCGGGGGATGTTTGGGAAATGGGAAAGTATATTACTCGCCCCTGTGACAGCCTGCAGTATAAGGGTGCAATTTGAACGAAATGCCTTGATATTATTCTGACGACTAAATTTACTGACATGGTCAAGACAACGGCTAATTGCATGACAAACAGACGTTTTCGAAAGCTTGGGAAAAAAACCTTTTTTTGTGTTCAAAACAAACTAAGCATATACTGTTCATACCAAACTGATAAGGTCCATTCCGACCGGGTTAATAAGACCTTCAGTAGTATTTTAGAAATTGCAGTGTACCCATGTTCATCCAGGCTTCAGCTATCGACGAGAGTCCTTCCCGAAAAACCATACTTAGGTAATTCTATATTATTGACATTTTGTTTGAGTTTGCTTATTGTATAAAAAAATAACCAAATAAAACAAACAGCATATAAAAGATTTGGATTGTAGCAGCTTTACATTTATACAGGTATAATGATTGAACGGCATTTTTTCAATTTCATACCGGCATGAGCATTGAAATCAAAAAGCAATCCCTATGTTTACATTCTAAATGTTAAGTTATCATTCACATTAATATGCTATCCCCTTAAATTTTCTATATTAACGTGTTTATGTCGTCAGCACAAACGAGATTCCTGGAACAGCCTTACGTCGTCAAACTATTTGCTTCCAACGGTTTCTCATGATATTCAAGGCAGGAGAATAAGCTTCAAAATGACGCTGATCCAATTTTGTTCATAGCCCTATGAACGCAATTTTCATGATTAAGCTTATAGAAAAACTTGCAGTGAAAATGTAAACAAACAAGCATGTGTCGTGTTGATTAAGGATATCTGTGGTTAAAACTAAGATTGTGTTAGATATGTAAACGGTGTTGTTTGGTTTACGAACTTACCAATAGACGAAATAAAAATTACCACGAAAATAATTTTGAATACCCCAATTGCTTAATAATATCAACAGGAAACGGAAATGACGACATATCACACATTTGATGCCGTAAACTCTCTCGTGTACACATTTAACTTTCTTGAACTGACGTACATCTCGTTGATTATACGTAACACAGTATATCGCTGTTATAAATTACAGGTTACATTGTAAAGTGAACGCGAAATCAAATACTCAGCGAATATTAATACCATGGATTATAACATGGGATATATATTTATATATACAGACACACACAAAACATCATTTTACAGCAGAATAATGCAGATGAAACAACAAAATCAATACCGGTTATTTAACCTTATACTCACAAAACTTCTATAAAGAAATCCCATCACCCAAATACAAAACTATCTATGTGAGTGTAATATTTGAAATCAAAGAATAAAAGTTATGTGAACTTCTGATTACAAAGGTACAACGCAACGTAAACAAAATGTATAAATCCGGAATATTACATCTGGTAACCGCTTTCGAGAAGGGATGCCTCGAGTACTAGTGTCGCTAGCGATTGCCGCGCGGCAATCGCGGAAACCGCTATTGACACTCGCGATCGGGTGGAAATAGCGACGGCCAATATTTTTAACTGGCAATAGCGCGAAATGTAATATTCGCGGAGTAGTCCTGGTTGGGCCAACCGCGAAATATTATCCCCGCAAAATGATACAGCTATACAGTGTTACCAATATGTCTGATTAAACATGTTTTACAGTGTAACATCATACTTACAGCTCGGGTAAAGCCTCCTACAGCCACTGTGTCATCAGCTATAGATTTCTCCAGGTAGTAAGATCACGGTAAGACTCACACTCGTATGCCTACTCAGACTTTTTCCTAATGATATGCATTTGTCTCGTGCTCTTGAATTTTGATAGTTAATATTAATAACATGATGTACATATTTGTACGTTAATTAATTCTGGCAACCATATCCACTTTGCTGTTAAAATGTGGTCATGTTTCATTTGAAGACGATAGAGAAGTATTTGTCTGCTGTTGAATTCCATTGCAGGGTCGTATGAGGCGACCAAGGGGGTGCTCTGCATAATCGGGGGTTTAGTTCAGTGTTTTAAGGGGAAATTGAATTTTGTTCAATGAGTTTGCTGATATTTTATAACGTTAACAGATTTGGCGTGTTTTTTATTATTAAATACTAACATTCTAGGATGTGTCATGTTAAAACGGTCATGCGCGTAGCTGCCTGTGCGCAGGTATGCAGGTAAATACAACAAATTAAAACAAAACACCGTACATATGTATGTGTGTTTGTGGTAATTGAATATGTTTTCAGAAATTATGGCTGTTGATCTAAAATATATTTAATAATATGATTTTATTGTTTAATAGTAGAATGTCTCAATTTTGCAATTTTGTTCCTGCGATCTGCCCTCTGGAAGGTGATACTGAAACAGATATATCTTAAAAGGTTTTTTTCCAAAATGTCCCCTCCTTTGATTTCAATTTTCGTTTGATGAGGTGTAGACCTAAACATTATCACAACAAAAATATCCACTAAAATTCAAATGAGCACTTGTTTTTCGTAGAAGCATAAAACTGAAATTCTCAAAAAGTCAGAGTTTTTCCCCAAAAGACGAATGTTATCAAACTAACAATGCATTGAAGGATCATTCATGATGGAACCAAAACTAGGGATCATCTGCCACAGTATACATGTAAAAATCTCTTGCCATGGTGAGTTATCAGATATTTACAGACAAATCAAAAGCTAAAACCACCTCAAGCAATGATATTTTCCAAACAAAACATGTGTTAATCATAGAATAAAAGTATCTTATAACTTTTTTATACCAAAACATTTTTTAATATAGATGGGCTAGGTCATGATCTACCAGTGACAACAATATTAATCTAAAATATGTAATGGAACATATTCAAAGAAGACCATATGGTCTGTACATCAGAATTCATGGCTATGTGTGTAGTCGAATCATTATGACTGAAAACTGACAGAAAAGAAGAAAATATTTGTTTCGATTTAGATGAAATGAATATACATTGGTTTATTCCTTTTAAAGATGGCCACCTAAACATTCATTCTACTGCCTAATCAGTTGTCAGATTCCCAGACAACTTTCTTGCGATATCAATGGAATTCAGAGATTGTTTGTTTGTTACTTTATTGTTATATATACATTAACTTTAGACGCCATATTAATGGCTAATAGCATTTCCAGATAATGTTTTGTAAGATGCAAGAATATGAAATGTGTTCGAATGGCAGACTTGGGAAAAAAGAAGGAAGAAAAAAACTGATGCGAGGTTTTGATTTTGTTTTCAAACTGGTGATTCTAGATTCACAAGAAAACAACTGATTTCAAGCTTTGTCGGAACTCTTTATCCCTTGGGTGCAACTGTTCAGGATTTTGAAGATTGCTATGGTAGCCAAGATAATACACTTGATGTATGAGCACACATTCCGATAGTTCTTTGACCAACTGGGCATTGGTAGTAGTAATCTTTTATTGGATTATTATCATTTAGTGTCGTGCTGTACTGAAACATTATATTTAGTCTGACTTTTTGTGTCTGGAACAAATCTGACAACAGATGAGGTATTACTAGTGCTGGTACATCCATGTTTCATAATCTTTACGAATTCTGACTTTGCCCTCTCGGAGAGAGCTTGTTGTTTTCACCCTCTAAGTAGAAATTCATTTGTTGTGCAAGTCCTCTGTCTATTCTATCAGTTTCTGTTTCTGGTGATCTTTGATAAATTGGTCACCGTATCCTTGAGACATGCAGTCACAATCTTTAGCACTTTCTCGATTATACCAATGAAGGAATTTTATATTAATTGAGTTTTAAAAAATATCCACTGCTTAAGACGGCCGTGATAAGACTCTACAATCCGTCGGGATTTATATTTTGTTTAGTAATTGTCCTGCCAATGTTAGCCTGTAGGTCAGAGTGTTGTCTCTGACCAGTCTAAGATAGGAGGGCATACTGGTATTAATAGCAGATGTCTCTAACATTGGCAGGACATCTCTAAAACCAAGATCACCGACTACATTGTCGTCTTGCTCCAACCATGTGAGCTTGTCTATGATGTTGTTGTTTTTTGTAATGCTTGAATCATTGTGGCTTCCAGAGAATGGTATTACTATATGTCTAAAATGAAGCCATCAGGTAGAGCTATGCTCATGCATCTAAGATAATAACGCTCCTTCTGGCCACCGTTAGACATTCTCTGAAGCTTATGGTCGGCAACTTTTTAATATAAATATATGTATCATCTATTAAGGCAGTCACTTTGTCCCCAAAGAATGTTTCTGAGAATAAAGTATTGTGTGAAAGTATCCAAATGGTCAGGACCAAGGAACACTGGAACTATAGATGTATTTAATGATTGTACTACAGAATGAAAGGGTTTTTAAATACTAGGCAGGGAAAATGCCAGAAAGAACGAAACACTTGATTCCAAGAGATATCACTTTTCATCCTAACCCAAAACAGTAAAAGAGCATTTTGTGTAGTTTTGGTATATATTGCAGAAGAAAGAAATGGGACCAAGTACGAATGGATTTTAAGAAACTGTTCTTTGACCAACCTGTGCCAGCTTTGCAGCCAGGGTCATACACGAAAGAAAAATTGTGAGTGACGGCTGGTTGATTCTTTGATATTATGTACGACTATTCTAAAAGGGAATCGATTATTTCAGACAACCTACTTTATAATTAAGAAGTCACAAAGACTCTCTTCCTTATAGGATGTACAACGGTTCGGATAATTGCCAATAAGATGAAATGAGCATACACGCTATGACGCAGAACACCACAATTCGTGTGTGAACATTAACTGAAACCTGATTGGCAGAAGTGTGGATTTGCTTTCCTTCGAATTAAAATTGTTAAAACAAAGCCAACATTTTTTATGTGAACAGGATCCGTAAAACAGGTCCTTGATTGTTAAGAGAGGAAAACTTCTAGTAGTTTCATCTCCCAAAAATTCTGTTTCAGATTCTCTTTTGCGCACAAACTTTATGTAGCACTTCGGAAAAATACTAACTTCTTCATTTGAGCATTCTATGCCACTTTTAGTCAAAATAACCAAAAGCCATATATATTATGGATTTCTTTTTAAATTTCGTGTACCTTTACATTTACGAGACTTCGCGAAGATACGTTGGCGACCTTCACCAATACATTTACTCTTCATTATGAGATGAATATTAACAAATGAGTATTAAATATCCCCTAAAAGCAATGTTGAAATAAAACTCAGATGATAAAATGTACAAAAACGATAACAAAATGTATAAGACCAAATTCTAAAAAGTGACAAGGATATTACATTTGATCTCTAAAGTGATTGTTATCAAAACGTTTATCAATCACGCCAAGTGATGAAGCAAATCTGAATTTGTAATTTGTTGTGACCTAACAAGCACTGAAAGGTTTATTATAGGCTTGCAACACATTTCATTACAAATTACCTGTACTCAGGTGCATTGCTTGGTGGACGCCAGGGAGGTATCTTAGGCCTTCACATTTTTCGTACACAGGGTACTTTGTTGTGCGAAATGAATACTTTCCACCACTTTTTTGGGACTGAATTTTTGCATACATGTTTGAAATAAGGGACATCAAAACTCACCTCTTCGTGTCTACATTTTAGAATCCTTGCAAAGACGTCATGTATATGTGCACATTGCTTGCTTAAATGTATAAAAGTGATTGTAAGCCTTTTTTTTTTTTACACAATTATAATCATTACTATTATCCATATGTTGTAAAGCGCTTTAGAGTAATTTTACAAATTATATAGGGCGCTATATAAATGTTGTATATTATTATTATTAATAATAACACAACTTCTTGTTTTGGTATGCAAGAATAATAAGAATGAAAAATCCTGTATTTTACATTAACATTTTTTCAAAATGTTCGATTAAACTCACATCGAATCTCGTTGCAGTTCTGAAACAAAAGCTATAAGGGGCAGGGTCCTGTGTAATTTTAACATAGCTGTAAATTGTCCCTTTGATAAACATTTATCTGCCGGGGGAGAGATTTCGCAAATACACTTAACATATCAACAACAACCTCCTCATGTCCTAAATAAATTCATTCCATATAAGAGCTACGCCCCTTATGGACAACTTAAACAGACTTTTGTTTCACAGCATAAGCAATTGAATTATATGTCTAAAATTCCCTTCCCATACATTTAATCGATCAAATAATCAAGGTCATAAACTGTGTCAGTTAACTGACACGTGACAATACGATGAGGTCACACTTCTATTGGGTAGAACACCTGCTTTGGAGATTGCTTTCATACCAAGAACTAGACTACTTTCAGGACAACAGGAAGAAATAGCTGATACACAACCCGTACAGGCGCATTTACGCAAAATCATGACAACAAAAGATCACATGTCAAATGTCGGTAAGTAAACAGAGACATATGTCCACAAAGCTGTTAAAGTTCACTCTACTTCCGGTTGTATACTTCCGGTTGTAAATAATCGAAATCGGAAACGGCGAATAAAGTAGCATATTGTCGAGAACCGGAAGCATCTTACATTCTTATATTGGTTGACCTGGTATTTACCTCCAGTTTAAATGCCAAATTTCCCATATTGAATTAACCACACAAGTAAAAGGACAAACGACCTCGTATTTCTATTAAACGGAAATTATCTTTACCGTAACCTTTTAAAGAATATAATTTAGTTCACATGTCCGAAGCTGTCCTACATGCGTTAGTTACGTGCTATGTAGAGTAAATCATGTAGTGAAAGTCTGTGTTAACGTTTTAATTGGTGATGAACCCTTGAAATCTGTACGTATATTTTACGGAAGTTGACACAAACGAGGAAGATATCTGACTTGTATAATGCATGCCCACCTTGTGATCCTCATCGTAGCCGATCTGCTTTATAAATTAGGTAGGTTACAAATGCATATTTATTGATATTATCACTCATATACAGATTCTTAAATGCTATCCAATAGAAACGAGATCATGTCTCTTTGTCAATATCGTTCTGCCCATGTCTGTCTGTCTGTATCAGTCTGCCCATGTTTGTCTGTCTGTCTGTCTGACTGTTTGAAGTCATTAGTGTGTTGTTTGCTCGTCGATCTGTTTGTTTTTCACTTTATAACTAGAATTTGATATTTTGTTACACTTAGCCATGTTTGATTGTATAGTTGTTATATTGTTTTACACAGGGAAGGGTTAATACTGTTCATAATGTTCCTGAAATTGGTTCCCAATGTCTTTGCAAACTATAAAATGTATGATACATGTGGCTACAACGTGTAATATAATTCACACGTTACATGTTGCGAACATGAACCAGCTAATAGCGTTTCAAATTTGACGTTCTAATAAGGATGATGTCACTAATTGACTCATGGAATTCATAGTTCTTAATGAATACCAAATACATTTGATAGAGCTGATGGCATACACAATATAACATCAGTCAGTACAAATATTTGATATCAAAAATGGTTGCGCCTGTGATATTGTAAAAATATTATTTCGTAGGGTAAAATATTCGATTTTTTTCCTAGACCAAATTTGTGGGGTTTAAATTTAACATAATTTAAGACAGTTCTAACTTTCTCAACGAATAAAATGGAAAAATAACGTCCTTTCAGTATGTTTAATTAAGCGCTATAGTAATTAAATCGGTTGTCAATCAATACCTTATGGTAAATCGATATTTTTTAACGCACTGTATACAATCAGGAAATATCAATCGATAGTACTTATAATTTAGTTTATATGCATCCATATGTTTATAGATTTGTGTAATGTAAAAGCCTGTTGTTTTCAAAATAAGATTTTGGTTCTTTCGGTGCTCGTTTCGGAAAAATGCTTTCTTTGTAATATTTCTTAAGTGTTTGATTTGCACAGGTTTCAGGTCCCTACGGTTTTTAATTTATTCAATTTCCAATGTGTAAAATATAATTTAGTTTGTCATTGGACTTTTAGGTCTTTCAGAAGCAGGTTGCACATTAGGACCCACTGTTTCAGAGAAGACCAACAACGTGGACAATAGCAACGGTAAACAATACCATTCGTCAAAATTTCTTGCACATACCTGCTAAATTGGATTGGGAAACATTTGTATAACGTAGAACCAGATAATTTCATTCTAAATGTATATTTTAGAGCGTGCTAAGTAAAATACAGAAAAAAAACATATCTTAATATAGAATGAAAAATACACAATTTTAAAACCTAATCAAAATTAAAATGTAAATTCACATAAAAGTAGATTACAAAATTAATCGTAAAAAAAATCAATATTTTCAGTAACCCAGTATATTGTGACGTCATCCAGCTTGACGTCATCTTGCTGTGGAGTTTTGTCCGAAGTTCAAATCTACCCAAAGAGAACAGGTTATATACAGTTTCAGATATGGCGCCCTCTGACGACGAACGAATACATGCTGGTCGGGGAGTTCCGGTACTCGGTATCCTCTAGTAAGCCCATTACGTATGATAAATTATGGTTTACACCCCCGAATTACGTTTAAACCAAACCAATCTTTTCACCTCTTGGTCCCTGATGTGGAAAGACTAATTAGCTTAATCAGTTGTTAACGAGAGAAAAACTAAATCAAAAAATCAAAAAAAAAAACAGTATTACGTTGCCGTTGACCTATTGAGAGTTTGAACAACTGGACCTATACTGTTTAACTGTAAAACAATCCAAATTTGCTGTTCATAAACGACTAATGGAAAATTGACGTGAGGACTGCACAGTACATACACTTATATGCAGACGTCAATAAAATAGAATATATTTAATAATGGGTTTTTTCCGAAGAAAAGGTAAATAATTGTATGCTATTTATAATTCATCAATGATACACATTTAACTATAATTATTGTTCCTTTTAGTTGATGTCAACGAAACTGTGGCGATATCTGACGAAATATCTGTTCAAATTGGAGACAGTATTGGCTGGTACGTATTTGTTCTGTCCAATCAGGTGTCAGTGTCGGCTTGTAATTATATCTAACCTGTCTGGAGACGGTATTGGTTGGAATGTAGTTACAATAGCCAATCAGATGACATAATTGGCCGGAACGAATTAAGTCGATATATCCAACCATGAGACTGGATTGTCTGTTATGGGAATTCATGATATCGAATAAGAGTACAGTATTGGTAAGTATATACATGTATACAAGTGTATAACATGTGCAATCTGGGCCTGTGTATTCATGAAACCGTTCTTATGCTCAAGCATGGATTTTGTGCTCAAACCAGTTTTCTTTTAACTCGCTTAAATCATGTCAAACGATCAAAAAGTCAAATGTAAACATTGAAAACAGTATTTGGGTTCAAGTCTCTTCAATTGTTTTTCAAAATCAATGACAATTTTTGTTTTCGTTAATTTATAACCGGATCAAGAAATTAGGCTTGAGCACAAATTCTATGCTTGAGCCTGAGAACGGTTTCATGAATACTGGCCAAGAAGTCATCATGCAAGGTATCATAATTACGTAAGTCTATCATTTATGGTCAGTCACGTTAGTATAATGTATTGAATATTTGATGTGAATAAAAATTTACATATTACGTCATTTCCGGCAGGTACAGCGAAGCATTCGACATTGTTCCGTATACGGCCGGAAGTAATGAAGAAGACGGAACAATTGTTGTCCTCTCGTCCGTGGACCATGCGGTTGGATATAACTACACAGTGGGCGTGGCCTATACGGACGACCGCACGTTCGCCATCCAGTACAGCGTCTCAGATGGTATGAATGAAAAAAGTTTAAATAAGAATAAATGTATCTTTCCTCTATTCATGAAACTTAATGTATTCATTATCATCTCGCAGTTACTTACATGACACCGTTCATACTTTGACCTCTTTGTTTCTCGAACATGAGATAATGTACATTGTTACACCTCAAGTGAATTTCTAGCTATTTGATTGGTTGGGAGAAAATTTAACAAAAATCTCTGTCACCCTCCGAAAATACATTGGTTTAAAGGGGCGCGGGTGATATTGCCATGAGACAGTATATAAATATGACATTCATTAGCAGGTGACGGTGAATATTGTCAACCCTCAAAAACCCATTGTCACCCTCGGATTAGCCTCGGGTGACAATGGTTTTCTCAGGGTGACAATATTCACTGTCACCTGCTAATGAATGTCATATTTATATACTGTACTTAAAAATATGAATGTAATTTTACAAATAGTGTACCAATGCTCATAGTCTTGTACTCGTATTTCTGCGCATTATACATGTAACACTTTTCAAGTTGTAATAATCCTGACACAGCGATACATCTAACTCTAACATGGAGGCATGCAGTGATTTTATTTAGATGTTTTCAAAATTTAGCGTTTAAAAATAAAAACAAAATGTTTTAAAATGTTTTTACCGCCAAAACAAGAACGATTCCGGTATTCTATTTCATTGCGTCATTTCGTCTGTCAGTAAATGTGTCCACCCAACTTAGTAAGTGTCTGTGTGTTGCTATTTATTTGTCTGAATTTATTATTTTCTCCATAATTGAAGGTGATGCCCCCATATTCACCAATCTGCCGGCTACTATAGACGTTTACGACCACACCGTTATCAGCACGTCCATCTTTAACGTCACCGTCAATGACAGCAACGCAGCAGAGTTATCTTCCCTTGTCATGTCTGTTTCTTTCTATGAGCCGCACAGTAGTACTCCAGCTATAGCTATCGATCTGAACACAGGTGACAATCTCTGTAATAACACAAAAATAATTAATAAGGTTTATTATCTAGTAGCTACAGACAAGGTTATTTTAAAAATAATTCACCTGTTTGAATTCGTTTAAAAAAAGGACTAAAGTTTGAATCTGAAACATGCATATGATGATACGATATTAGTGACACGTTCGATATTTGAATTTACTATTTATGTTTAACCAAGACATCCCTGCTTGTCATAACAGTTTGAATAACATATTACATTGGTTTCTTTTATAACAAAAGTATATGTAAACAAAATGCATGTTTAATATGGTATTATATTGTTTACATGTTCATAAATTCTGCTTATTAAAAATAAGTGTATTTGGAAAGGTATATATACCAATAGCAATTGACTTACACTTTTAATCCATACAGGTCAGGTGACTACGGCTAACCAGTTGTATGTGAGTACTGTGACCTTGACCTTGACCCTGACGGATGTGTGTGGGCTTTCAGACAGTCAGACACTGACCGTAAATATCATCAACCAGGTTCGTCAAATGTCGTAATTATATTTACAAATGATCTTGAAGGTTTTGCCATAAATGTGACCAATATATTATTATGTTAAATGTTTTTCATGAAACCGTCAATTAACGCCATATTTTCATTCAGTTCAATGTTAATTCATCTGTATTTTATTCATGTTTATTGAACACGTACAATTAAAAGGCATTTTTTTATGTGATTTTGAAACAAGTGCCAGCATGCTTTTGTAAAACTCCGTCCTTTGGGTGAGTTTCTAATGTTATCAATGGATGAAGGTCAGGGGTAAAATATTTGTGAAAAGTGTTTCGTATCTGCATTTGATTTGATAACTGTTCAATCCTTTTACTGTAGCTGAAGGAGCATGGCTACCATTCATTTTATCTTCGGATAACATTGTGCCTTAATGCTGTAACTTTTATCGAAATCGTCCATTCCAAAAGAATCGTAGTGCAATTACATTGCAGGGCGCATGTTTCTTTCTGTATAGGATAAATTCCAACTGGTCGCACAAGTATGTTTAACAATTCTTGGATAATCTTCCCTACCCAGCCACCGATCATCAGTAACCTCCCGGCGGCTGTCGATTTGTCGGAAACCGTTACCGTGGAAACACTTCTTTACACACTGTCCGTGTCTGACCCCTCGAATGACCTTGTTATGTGCACAGTGAACTCCTCCTCTCCAACAGACGCCCCATTTCTGATACAACTTATCCCGGGGACTTCAAGTAAGTACAGTATAAACATCCCTGGGACCAGATGAGTGTTGTATGACTGCCAACTCGTATGGCTCTTGTATGAATCAAGGTCATGCAAGGACTTCTGTATGACATTGACCTTGATGAACGTATGGATACCTTTGACATTATAGTTTTATGAGTTACTGGCAAAAGGTGAAAGCTTTTTGAAAAATTGATCTAGAATAAGATATTATTGACGAGATATTTCCTTTGTACAGATTACGGGGTATATAGCAGGCTGGTGCCTCTATTTGACTACAACATCACTGACCAGTACGTACTGACCATTCACTGTACGGACACCAAGGACATTACATCCGGGCAGTTCGAGATTAACATGCTGCCAAACACCGTACCTTTTTTCCTTAATATCCCCGGTAAGTTGTGTTTTCTATCTCAGATATTCCAGAAAGCCAACATTAATACCTAAAGTCAATCTACCTAAATATATTCAGTAAGTCGAAACGAATGCTTTCAATATGTCTACCTCTTTCTCTTCAGTAAGTTGACCGAATATAGCTCATATTAGTCAACAGAAAAATTCATTAAGGTCAGTCGCCTCCCTTGTATTATTAATTCGACTAATAATCACCTGGTATGTCATCCGACCTGAACACTCCCTCAAGTTATGTTACCCTCACTATCTCCGGAAAGTTGAACAACTGCATAACATCAATATCATAAGTTTATATGAATATTTTAGCAAAATTAACTGCATTATCGCCAAAAAGTTCACAATTGTGTCTCTGGTATGTCAATTTCAATAACCTTTCTAAGTCGAGATGAAAATCCCGAGTAAGCTCTCGGTGTAAAGTAGGCCTCACTATTCTAAGGCAAATATAGGTAACGGTACCTTGATAACCTTATAAGTAGGTCAAACAAATGTCCTTTCAAAATCGGCTTTTATATCACCAAGCAACTTGAAGTAAATATCCTCTTTTAAATCAATCTTAAAGTTATTTTAGGCGAACTGTTATTCCTGATCTCAATCTTACATATTCTTAGTAAGTCGAATCTGACATCTTCGGTATCTGGATATTGTCTGCAGCAAATAAAACTAAATATTCCTCGTAACTGCCGGTCACACTTTTCTCCATTTCCGACAAGCCCTAGTCGACTGTTTTACTGTAAATTTTCTGTCACGTGATGTTTGATTACGATTACAGCTTCAGTTACCATAGCGACGACGACACAGATAGGTACAGTGGTGTACACTGTTCTAGCGGCAGACAACGAAACAACTAACATCGAGTTTTCGATAGCCAGTTGTTCCAATTGTTGGTTTGCAATAGCAGAAAGTAAGTGTTTATCTTGCGGATGTTATTTATCATTTATATAATCTGTCATCTTGAATAAAATGGCGGCGATTTGGCCCATTGCAGCAGCATTAATGGCTATTATTTTGCGTGTATCGGATGACTATAAATCCAGATTATATAAGCTGGAATGTCCAATTCCTTCACATCTCACACAAATATATTGAGAAAGCAATTTAGAGCAATATATAAGAGCTTGTGGAGCGTGTAAAAAACCAAGCTTGGCCTCATATCTGAACAATCTTCAATATAAAAACAAAGGGCCATAACTCTGTTATACGGGAACGACAATGTTATTATTACTCCCTTCACCTTTAGGGTTGCTCCATATACACACTGTAGCAAATTATATTGTCCCTGTGCACACGCAAACATTACACACATGCAAGCACGTTCTCAAATGACCTCCGCTCTTTAGGACATTATCCCCTATGTGACACGCAGCTCTTTAGGACATTATTCCCTATGTGACACGTAGCTCTTTAGGACATTATCCCCTATGTGACACGCAGCTCTTTAGGACATTATCCCCTATATGACACGCAGCTCTTTAGGACATTATCCCCTATCTGACACCAAGTCTTGAATCATAATGTTTAGTTTTATCTCTTTTATTTAAGCCGGACAAGTGATTCTGAAAACGTCCATCCTTACCACCACTACAACTGTGTATGAAATCCGAATCAGTGTCAGGGACGCCTCCCTAACATCTTCTACTACCAAACTCAGCTTCATCATTTCAGGTTAGAATCTACTGCACTTAGTATCGTCATTTCAGGTAAGGTTAAATAGTTCGATGCTTATTTTCCTCTCTGCACGCTTGGAATATGTCATAGCAAAATTAATGGCGCGCGGCTAGCTATTCGATTGGTCTCAGGTAAAACATCCTGACCAATTGCTAGGTTATTGGATTGACACCCGACTTCAAAACCATTATTTTTTTACCGTTACGCGACCGTGAGATTCTTTTGATGTAAATCAAAGACTCAAACTAGTCTTTCTTGTCTCATCCACAAGGTGGTGAACTCTGAGCCTTTAATTTTGATATGACATATTCCAGGAGTGCAGAGAGCGTAAGCGAGCGTAACCCATGGAATACCGAGGATGTATTTCAAGTAAAAGTGTAATTAACTTTGTATCACCATTTCAGGTAAATACTAGTTAACTTCATATAATGATTTCAAGTAAGGTTGTAAGAGACTCAATATCATCATATCAGGTAAGGTTCTACCAAACTTCTATTATTTCAGATTCGCCTCTACTCCACATACTCATTGTTACCGTTAAGCTTGTATCACGTTTAGTTTCCAAATATTTAGTTTTGTTCCATCTTGCTTCGTATTACCATCATTATCAGGTCGTATCACGCCGAACAAAGCACTCCAAAGGAATGTTTTACGACACTAAGTATCCTAGTATTCAATGGCAGTTTATCATTTCCTAGCTCCTTACTACAGCAATTAATCGTCCACCAGATGTACCATGCTTGGCCTCCTCATCTCGAGTCAGTTTCTAGCATGCATATTGGTGTCGTGTAAAGCAGGGAATCAGTTCTTGTAAACTCGATACCACCTTTGCCTATTCTCATGATGATATATTTACATTCAACACATACGTATTAATCTTTTGGAAGATGAAACATACCTAGTTTCATTTTAGTTGCATTGTTTTACCAGACACAAAATCCTTTTAAGTCGAAATTTAGACCACGCGCGTACCTGTTCGTGAAGTGGTGACAAAACCTTTGCTCACGTTTTTGATTCACTCCTGTCATTATTCCTTTTAGGAGTCAATAACCAGCCAACCATCAACAATTTACCTCTGACGTTGAATATTCTGGAATCCGTCGCCATAGGAACGGCGATCTTCACTTTAGATGTGACAGAGCATGACACAGACGATACATTGAATTACGTCATTTCCTACACACCGTCCTCTGCGGCAGCAAAGTTTCAGTTCGACGTCAGCAGTAAGTGATCGGCAGTAACTTATTTTAGTACATGTAGTTTGTTTCAAAAGATTTTATTTTCGAGTGGTTTGAATGACTAAATGAAATGTAGCAGGCCTTTACACTGCCCAGTTATATAACACGTGTCCGAATCAACAAAATGAAACAACGAAGGATTTGAGGTTTTACATGAAGGCGGTTGCAGATGGCATTAATTTGGCTGTAAATGCCATAACCCATGTGTTGTAGTCATCATTATAATAGTCAAACATGGAAAATGTATGACCACTGACTCTACATATACGATGGCTGTTCTATTTATTGAACAGGCATACATGATGTCTACAATATTTAGAACTAAATGCTGACTTTTAATAAGCACTTTTTAATTTCTATTAAATTGATAACATAAAAAAAGGGTAAATACCTGTATAAGTATTGTACTGTGCTGATATGACATTTGCAGTCTATATGAATGAAAAAGCATTGCAGGCAAACCAATCATAATGCGCTCGCGCATATTATGACATTTGCCTGCAAAGCTGTGTCATTCATATAGACAGTAAATGCCATATTAACACAGTCCTATGGTTATTATTGAATGATGATAAACATGATACTACTGCAACCTACCATCAATGGCTGGGGGAACCGTTCTTACCATATCGGTATATTTACATTTGGTGTGGCAAAGCCTTTCTATATTACTACTAAAGTACTGCCAATAGCAGCTTCATCTTATGAGACTATAACTGAAGTTGGTCTGTGCACCTCCGAGCGACTTAACAGTGTCACTACCGAACTTATCGGTATCTTCTGCTTTGATCCCTAACACCAACAAGTGTCTGTGAGATCAACAAACAATTTTACGCCTGGATTTTCACCAATTCAACCTTCTCCGGTTGCACGATCAACATCAACAACATGCCGGACTGCAAATATAACTCTGACCCGATTACTGCGGGCTTCCGTTGAGTGCGTGCGCCAGATATAGGTCGCAATAAAATCGGAAAATGTTTTACGAAACTTGATTAATTACTTACAAAATGTCATTTTTACTATTTATGAATCGAGAATATGATATATATATAAATCAAAATCAAATGAATTATTAACGAAAGTTGCGGAGTCTTTTCAATTTTGTATGGGAAATAGCGCATGACGTCAGCTGTTATCTTTGTGCCGTTCTAGATACTGACCTGACCTGACGGTAATAAGCGGGAAATTTGAAATTTGGAAAAGACAT